ATTGTGAATGTTGGAAAGGCCATTAAATTGTTCATCTTAAAGTCGTTAATTATATGTTATGTACATTTCATTTAAATTAAAAAATCCACCTAGGTTAAAATTCTCTGGGTTGGGAGACCTTTAAGGGTAGCTGGGGGGCAGGGCTAGAGAGGCGGGCCTCTAAGAATCATGTGACCCAGCGCCTGCGCAGAAAGGTCACGTGGTGGCTGGCCGGGAAAATGGCGGCTTCGGGAGAGAGCGGGACTTCGGGTGGCGGAGGCAGCACAGAGGAAGCATTTATGACCTTCTACAGTGAGGTGAACAGAGAGTGAGGAATAGTGGCCCCGGGGCGACCCTCTTGGGCCTGGTCTCCCAGTGTGCGAAGCTAATGGCGAAGGCCTGAACCGTTAAGCGCCTTCTCCTGCCCGGCCTTCGGTGTGGCGGGGGCTGGGGGTGTGTGTATGTGTGTCTCCCGCTGATAGCTGCTGGGAGATCTCCTGGGCAACAGAAGAGGAGCCAGTGGCCCACCAAGAGAGGGAAGCGGCGAGTGTGACCAACGAAGTGCTTGGGCGCGGGCAAAGTGCCCCAAGTCCGCAGAGTCCCGGGCTGGGAACTTCCTGGGGGGTGACTTAGCCGTTTTGGCCCCCCAAACGTTCTGTTTTCATAGTCTTCTGCAATGAGTCGTATTAGCGGCTATTTTTATTACTCGCGAAGAAGTTTGGGGAGGTGAAATAGTTTGGGTTTTTTTGTTTGTTTGCTTTGTTTCTGAGACGGGATCTCTATCACAGGTTGGAGTGCAGTTGCGCGATCATGGGTCAAACGATCCTCTTGCCGCAGTCTCTGGGGTAGCTGGGACTACAGGCTACTGACACCACTCCTGGCTAATTGGGGTTTTATAACTGGTATTGTGATAGAACAGGAGTAAGCTCGGTTTGAGCCTCGTTTACTACCGCATCTCTAGCGCCTAGTACATAGTGGATGCTCAGTAAATGTTTGTTGAGTGAATGAATGAATAAATGAAAGAAAAGCATGACATTTAGAGTCAGAGAATCTGAGATTTAGTTCTTGCAAGGCATTTAACCTGGGATTGAATTCTTTCAAGACGTTAATTTTACAGATCTGCAGTTTCTACGTCTACAAAAGGAGAGCTTTAATTTTTTTTTTTTTTTCCAGAGACAGTCTCACTTTCTCGCCCTCGGTAGAGTGCTGTGGCGTCACAGCTCACGGGAAACTCCAACTCCTGGGCTTAGGCGAGTCTCTTGCCTCAGCCTCCTGAGTAGCTGGGACTACAGGCGGGTAGCTTGGCTATTTGTTACAGTTTGGCTGGGGCCTGGCCCGGGGCCAGACTCGGGCTCTGGCTCTGGCTTGAACCCGCCACCCTCGATAATGGGGCTGGCGCCCTACACACTGAGCCACAGGTGCCGCCCGGGAGAGCTTTATTATTAAAACAAGAGTTTTCATGAGGATTAACGGAGTTAATGTATAAGAAAAGATTTCATAAAAGCTAAAGGAGAGCATCTTTCTTCAGTGAAATAAGAGTGAAGATGGGACCTTTTTAGGTTGGCATGGGTTTAAGGAGTGGAATTGCTCCCCAGCAGGCTGTGGGCTATTCATTTAAGGACCGTGTCATGTTCATCATTTTTTTGAGACAGAGTCTCACTGTGTTGCCCTTGGTAGAGAGCTGTGGCATCACAGCTCACAGCAACCTCAAACTCTTGGAACCTCAAGCAATTCTCTTGCCTCAGCCTCCCAAGTAGCTAGGACTATGGTTGCTCCCCACAATGCCTGGCTATTTGTAGAAAGGGGGTCTGGTCTCCAACTCTGGTGAGCTCAGGCAGTCCACCCACCTCA